CCCCCCGCCGTAGGGCTGCCGCTCCCCGGGGCTGCGCCGCTAGACACTTCCTCCTTGCGCTGGCACCGCCGGGCAGCCTGCTCCGCCGGCCCCGAGCCGGAGCAGATGCTCAGCTGCTGTGGAGCCGAGAGGAGGAGGCCTAGCACCCTCGCTGGGGGCTGAGCCGGGCTTTGGCGCTGCCCTAGCCAAGCAGAAAACCCGGCTTCCTGCGTGCAAAACGCGGAACAAACCTCACACCGCCTTGGGCAGCTGAACTGCAGTGACAGGCAAGTGCTGAGGAGCCTGGCACAGCCCCGTGCGCCCGCTCTTGCTCACGGGGCTTGGACCCCAGTGGGGGAGAGGGTCGGTGAGCACCGTGGGGGTCCACGCTGTCTCCTTTCTCCCATTTTTGAATATGAAACCTTCCCAAGTGTTGCGTCTGGCAAAGTCCGGCTGTGGGAAAGGCTCCGGTTGTTTCTGTGATGCGACTTCAGACCTCAGCGCACAGGGGACCTCGTCAGGCTGGACTGCCGCTGCGAGCCAGCTATCCAAAGTCAGTCACTGAACCCGAAGCATCGCTTGAGTTGCTTCTAGGAGGATTGTCTGCCGGCTGCATTTCTGGTGGTCGCTCCTCGTTAGATCCTGTAAAGCTAACTGCTGGAGCACGGCAGTAAAGGGATTTTGAACCCCTGAGCTACCATCAGCCTTTTAAATCGACATGTAAGAAACTAACCTTTCAAACTGGACAAACTACATTTAATCCGGATACATGCTACAGATTAAGGACAATCCTTCCCTCTCTGCAAAGAAAAGTGAACTAGGGCCATGTTGCACTGGAGGAGGGGCAGAATATTATTTGCAAGAGCAGCAGTTATGGTAAAAAATAGGAGTAATACCTACTGATGAATATATGCATAGTTGTAAACAGCTAAGGTGGAGCAGCAGATGTAGTCAGAGACTGACTTACTTTTTGATTCATCTAACACCTGAGCCTGTTGTTTCCTGGTTCCTCTTAATCTGCAGATTAGTCACAGCTTTGTTTTTTATTTTTCTTCTTTGCTTTGCTGTTGTCAGAGCTGACCCATAAGGATGCTCCAGGGCAGAGTGAAGCTAATAGTAACTGGAGATGACTTTGGCTATTGCCCATGGAGGAACCAAGGCATCGTGGAGTGTTTTCTAGCTGGAGCAGTTTCCAACGTTTCTCTTCTGGTCAATGGCAGTGCTGCAACAGATGCAGCACAGCTGGCAAGGAGGTGAGCTACTTACTTTAGTCCTCTTTGTTTGTCTCTCGCCAGGCCATATGAGCAAAGCTAAGCCTGTAAAATTCAGGGAACACCTAACATTTCTTATAACCCAAATGGGAAAACTAAAAACTTTCCCAGGCTTATGCACGGGAAACAGGCTCTAATGCACCTTTACTGACAGCATGTTCAAAAAACACTGTTCTGCAAATGTTGCTGTATACGGTTCTTCTTCCCGTGGTAGTCCCTGCTCTGCATGTGTTTTCCTCCCAGGCCCAGAAGGTGGAAGCCCACCTAACCAAAACGTTATTCTTTTGGTGGCTGCAATGTGGGTTAGTCGGTCTTTCTCTTTTCAGGCTGCTTTAAAGAGACACAATGAGAATAAAAGTCCATGCTGTGAAAAGTCCCTTACCTTCTGAATTGCATACACTCAAGATTTTTAAATACCTGAAATGCTAACAATGTCCCTCCTTTTGCTATTTGTGTTGTTTGCTTATTGTTTGCATGTTGTTTGGATTAGTTGTAGAATGGAAACTAGCCTTGTTCTGGCCTTTTGTTTTCAGGAGCTAACACAACCCCTGCAGTGCCTAAACTGCAAACTTACACATGGGAAATTTCAATCTCTCCTACTTAATTTTTTCCCTCCCAAAAAGTATTGAAAATATTCCTGTCCACAAAAGGCTTTATAGAACCACTCATCAAAAACACAGGTGCTAAAAGGAGGTGGGGGCTTCAGCTACCTGACTTATTTTATGCACATATTCTTGACTCCTGAAGGGGCTTTTTAAGGGAGCTGTCATACATGGCTTTGCAGCATATCACATGGCTTCCTGGACTAACCCAGCAAATCTTTTAACGTGGAGCATTGCTTGTAACTTGTGTAGAAGGTAAAACCAAGCTTCTACCTTAGCTCCAGCCTGAAACAGGTGAACTTTCTTGAGAAAGCAGCTCTGAAACCTGGAAGATGAAATTATTTAGTGCATCAGAAGCAGCTCTTTATGAACAAGAGAGCAGTGCTGGGTCTGTGGTTGTTCAGACCTGGCATCCCACTCCCCCAAGTCCAGTTGTTCATGAAGGGTGCCTTTATACCAGCTGCTTCATGCTAGTCCTCTGTGTGTGTCTGCTTATGAGGGCGTAGACAGTCTGTGTGATGTACTTCACTTGAGTTAGGTTGTAGACTGGCATTTCCCCCCCTGGATCTGGTCCTCATGGGCAGTGCCCAGCTGGCAGACCTGCAGCCTATTCTCTGACAGCCACAGCCTGAACACTGCAGAGGTGACACTAGTGTGGGCTTGCTGCTCATGTTTCAGCCCAGACTCAGGGACCATCTCGAAGCGAGCCTTCCTGCAGGGGATGCCTGTAAGAGCATCTGGTCTTGGAGCCAGTCTGCCTGTGGCTAAGAGGACTTGACA